CTGTTGTTGACAGATAGATGCTTCATTCCAATAAAACTATGTTTCGGAGCATCATCTGGGTTGTCACTCAGAGGTTCATCCATATCACTGTCACCTGCTTCTTGGTTAGTATTGACAGGTGGGGCCATAATGGGAGCAGGATGTGAGGTGTGTGAGTGTGAGCTTTCACACTCCATAGGTAAATCCTCTGAGATGAGTTGGCATTGTGACGTAGTGTTGAATGCTTCCTTTGCATACAAGTCACTGTTGTTGACAGGTAGATGCTTCACTCCAACAAAACTATGTTTCGGAGCATCATCTGGGTTGTCACTCAGAGGTTCGTCTACATCACTGTCACCTGCTTCTGGGTTAGTATTGACAGGTGGCGCCATAATGGGACCAGGATGTGAGGTGATTGTGTTTTCACACTCCTTAAGTTTGTCCACTGGGATGGGTTGGCGCTGTGACATTATTTTGAAGGCTTCCTTTACATACGAGTCATCGCTGAAGATGGGAAGATGTTTCATTGTAATGAAGTTGTGTTTCAGTGCATCTAATGGGCTGATCCGCTCTCTAGGATTCACAACTAGCATCTTTTTCAAAAGGTCTACGAATTCTCTCACATCTTGAACCTCGTGAGGATTGTCAAAATCACCTGCCCTTTCAAACATCCATCCAAAGATTGTAAATCAGTACTTTCTTCTTCAAGAGTCTCTCCTGACTCTTCTTGGTATTCTATCTTTGTTTTGAATCTCCAGGTAAAGTCAGTCTGGTCCTGTGAAAAGTACTGTGTGACCCGGGTCGAGCTGTCAAGAAAAAACTGGTCTGGTTGACCAATGAGATTTACAATTGATCTTAAGACCCCGTATCCCGAATAACCTGGAAAAATAAAGTGGCCAAGAAAAAGCTCCCCCAAAGTGCAAGCAAGCCCCCACATGTCCATGGCTTCGTTTGGTGAATACCCCAGGTAGATTTCTGGAGCTCTGTAAGCRAGAGCTTGATATAAATTAAACTCAGATAAATCATGAGTGAAARTGCAGAGCCCAAAATCTATTAATTTCACTCTGAAGGGCGAAGACATGTGATCAACTAACATTATGTTGTCAGGTTTAATGTCTGTATGAGTCATATGAAGTGCTCCTAACGCAGAGAGAGAAATCAACATTTGTTGTGTGATAGCTCTGATCTCAGATACTCTCAGAGGCAGCCAATCTCTTTGTTCCATGAAATCTTCCAGGCTTCGGTCCAGCAGCTCGTATGTAAAACAGTATCAAAACCTATCATTATGCTAGCATAAGCTAACGTTAGTCAGCAAGCTAGTAGCTGAAACATGGCGCTGTGTATCTGACTTTTGTTTCAGGTGAATCATTCACAAAGATTAAATGAGCCCCCATGGGCAGTGGTTAGAAGAGATGGCGCAGTGCTAGGTGCACATTGTAATTGCACAGCTGGACGGGGCGAGTGCTGCTCCCATGTGTCTGCCATGCTGTTCAAATTATGGCAGCATAACCAAGATAGGGAGGAAGAGACGACAGCAACATGTAAAAAGTGCAAATGGGACAGACCGAGWGAAACTGCTATGAAGAAGGTGGAGTACCTGCAGGGAAAGGATATTGTTTTCAACAAAACACAAAAATCCAAAAAGCAGAGCAAGACCCAAACACCCTCTTCCAACCCCAAAGCCTTCCCACCACTGACCCCAAGTAAGCAACGTCAGCTTTACAAAAACCTGTCCCAGTGCTGTAGAAAAGATGGACAAACAATAAAACCAGTAATCTTGTCTGTTGTGAGGGAGCATTCAGACTCATCTGTCCCTAAAGCAGTGAGTTTAGACCTGCCAGATCCCCTCACAAACCTCTGTGAGAAAGAAATGAGAGATGTGAGGAGAGACGAGCTGCAGAAAAGAGCAGAAGCTGTCTTTGACCAGTTGTCAGTGAGTAAAGAACAGGTGAGGTAGTAATTGTTTTATGTTTTCACATAATGTCAAACATATGTTTTTATTTGCTTAGTAATTATTATTTTATTTTCAGAGTGATATTGTTGAGGAGGAGACATGAGATAAGCAAGTGTGATAAAAAGTTGCTATTTTCTGTGATAAACTTATCACTTGTGCGGCCTCCCCAACCATTAGAAATAAAACAAATAGATCCCTGTGGGCTAATAGCAATAAGATATTTCATAGTGTGATGTGATTTGTATGTTGAATAACACTGGGCACTAGCTAAAAGSTTACTTGGCTTTTCAGTGAATATTTCAAAGCAGTCAATAATGCAAATAGTTTTTTTTTAAATGTTTGTTACGGAGGCATATGGTAGAGTTTTTCTTAAATGTCTCTTTCAGGCCAGAGAATAAGACTTGGCCCTAATCTACAATACATTACACTGACACAGTGCTTAAAAAGTTTTGAAACTGTGGTGGAATCAACACCAAAATAAAAAGCCAAAAAAATCAAAGCTTAAATTCATTCGTAGCTTAATTAATGTCAACACAAATTGTTGAAATAATGTCAGTGCTGATTTCATTTTAACATCTGGGGAAACAACATTAAAAAGTGTTATCAGAATAGAAAATGTATGTAGTCCAGTTAACATAAGAACTTGTTTATCATTGTTTTGAAGTGTAGATTCATTAAGTTCATTTTTAGATATTTTCTCCTAAAGTAACTGATTTTCAGCTCTTAAGGCTTGAACCTCCAACTTGAGAGAATGCATTTACGTTTTACCGTTTTCTTTATCACATGTAGGTCCAACGTCACCGCCGTCATTCGAAGTCTGAGAGTCATTTTCTGGTTCTATGTAATCTGTGACAGACGACGGTCCAGCCGCAGGAGTTTGTGATCCTAAGGGTGCTTCTGTTGATTCTTGCTATTCAGATTCTAATGAGACTAGTTTTCTTCCATATCTTCTTAACTGGTGAGGGCACATGCTTGAAAACTGATGGTACATAATCAGGTGAAAGCGGATGGTCACTCTTCTTTCCTAGGACAAATAATACACAATTAGTATCTGTTGGATTACAGCACAAATGCACTGTCTGCACAATTATTACACAAGCTTGGAGTTAGAAACTATGCCTTAAAATGACAATATGGTCCAAATACTCACTGGCCAAATATTTGTGCACACGTCCAATGAGAAGCAGCAAGATAAATTATTCAATCAGGATTTGTACTGGATCATTCATAATCTAAAAGTTGGATTAGGGTATGTAGGCTACTGGATTTTAAATTTTAGCTGAATTTATAAAAGAAAAATGCCACAATCACATTAGATAAAGTTTTGGTTGGAAAATAGTACATTTTGTTTAAAAATTATCAAGTTTCAATGGGACAGAAACATTTTCACATTTACTCAAATTTAAACAAGAAAATTTATGTGTAATAACAGCAACGTATCCCCACACACTGTTAACACCTTTTGTCATTAACAACAGTGTGTGTGTACTTTAACGTTCTGTGTTCTGTAATGTTATCAACAGCACGACCAGCTACCTTAATGCTAACAGCTGTTGCACAACATGTTCACTCACTTTGTAGCCTTCTACCGTAATAACAGTCTACTTGCAACCCTTTTTTACATTCATTTACCAAAAGCTCAAACCTAGGACTTTTCCAGGGACAGCTTCAGCCGGGGACAGGTTGTTCAAAACGGAAATTATCCCCGGAAATCTGACGTCTAGTCACCTTAGCATTAGCCTAGCTAGCAGCTACGAGTTAGCTTTGACAGTACTGCTACACTGTTGCGAATAAACATCATTACCATTAAAACTGTGGACACAACTCTTTATTGCWATGAATAGCTATGAATACTGTAAATATAACATTAAATCATGTTCACCTGAAGTTACCTGATATAAAATGTTCACTGCACAAGCYGAATCCATTGAGGGATGGGATCCATCGCTGGGTTTTCTTCATCGAGCTCCGTGCCCGTTTAATTGCAGAAATCCATCTTTCCCTCCTAACTGGATCTTTAGGAATGRGATAAAAGGCTCTGTCTTTAACTTGCCCTCGGTGGTTTGTGCATCCAGGGGCACAACATGAGTCAACCATCGCTGCAACACAGTGAAACTGTAGATGTGGATTAGCAGTAGGCTAATGTAAACAACAAGTGTTTCCTGCCAAAATGGCGCCTGGTGGTTGCGTGACGTCATGTCCCGGAGCTCTTAGCTAACTCAGGGGTGTATACTCAGTAAAGCTATACTTTTTGTGAGAAATAATAATGTAATTTCACTTTCAGGACACAGGATGACACAGTTTTTTTAATTTTATGTTTTCATCAATGACAACTCTGATTCTAAAGTAAAGATCTTTTGTTCATAGATATTCTTAGGTACAGGGTGACAAGTGAAAAAACTGTCCCTCCACCTACACTCAGAAGAAAGACCTCTGTGCCCCTTTTCAGTTAAGAAGCCATTGGAGGGATTAGCTGARGTGGAAACAGAAGATGATAGTGACAGTTCTGAGCAGGAAATAACCGCCCAGATGAGATCTGAGTTTTGGCAAATGTTGACACAAAARTGCAAACTTGACAGTATAATTAATTTATTATCACCATTTCTATCTCATTTGCTCTACAAGTTTCTGTGACCTCTATTTAGTCGTTGTGATGAATACTTTCCTTATGAACCTGTTGTGTTTGGTATGAAATGTGTATCCTGCCCTCTAGTGGATAATAAATGTAGTACAGGCAGTGGAACAGCTTTTCTTTGCCTTTTCTGAACGACTGCTGTCATGAACTTGATGATGATTTTAGAGGTGTTACAAGAAGTAAAACAGCTAAATTATTGTTSGTGTTTTTCAAATATAGCCTATCTTGTGCTAAAACAATGCATGATTACAGTGCGACACTAATTTGAGATATTTTAATTATAGAACGGATTTTGGTTGTAATTTCTAGATTTGTGATAAATGTTCTTTGTTCGTACATATTTCACACTGTAAACACATGACCACACAAAAAAAAGTGTATGTTTTTTCAGTTTTATTTTTTTCTTTAAGGGGAACTGTTATTTTTCTCTTTGTCATAATCTTTAACTCTTCCCAACTTTGCAGCTTAGCAAAAAAATAAAATAAAATAAAAAAACACCCCCATTTTTCAACTCCTCCAACTCAAGGAAAATACAAAGAAAACAAAAAGGGAAAGAAAATGAATACGGAAGGATTCATCAGGCCTGAGCAGAACACTGTTTCAGTAGTATGTGGGGCAACATTCCTCCCTGCTCCTATTCCCCACCTCCCCAATAAAAAACAAAACAAGAAAACTCATTCCAAGAGTTAACAATCAACACAAGTCTATGGACAACCAGTAGAAATAGAATACATACAATGAACGCCTTTATAAACTCATGTCTGTCCTAGAAACCTGCCTTCGTCGGTCACAGTTCGTGTGAAAGTTCTGACCTCTGGAGCTCCCACCACGCCCCAAACCCCAAACATTGCACAGGAGACCAGTAGCACGAGGCTGCAGTAGCTGGCTTTGGTACAAACATGATCAACTGTTTGTGTGTGTGTGTCTGTGTTTTTCTGCCAGCGATGAGTGTGAGGGAAGAGCTTCATTGGTGCTGGTTCTTCCTAGCTGCGCTCAGAGATCACTGCAGCGATGAGTGGGTTCCCTGAAAACTACCAGCCCTTATCCCCCGTTTTTCCTCCCTCCGTCCGTGCCTCGGCACGGTGAGCAGGCGCGCGTCTCGCTGGCGTGACCCTAGGACCAGTTCTCGTTTAACTTAAGGCAATACGTTTTGCTAAATGAAGAATCGGAGGGAGCGATGCAAGACGACGCCAGCCTGCTTATCCTGCCTCGTCCCTCTTTACACGGCGTGCATTTTACTTCTTGCTTTGCTTCATTTATTTTTTGTGGTTTTTTTGGTTTTTGGACCAAACACCGTTTTTTTTTTTAGTTCTGCTGCGAAGGTCGTGACCTCATTTGTCCTGACGTCAAAAACAGCAGAACTCGGTCAGCTGCAGTTGATCCGTCAGTACCAGCGAGCTTGAGCTTTAAAAACTGGCTTCTCTTTTTTTACAACAACAAAAAATAAAATTAAAAGTGCTGTTCTTTTTTATCCTTTTTCATCGGAATGAAATCATCATATTAAGCATAATAATTAACCAGAATCATCAACATCATAATAATAATAACACTAAGAATATACAAATTATGGGTACAGAATTTATACAAAATACCCTACGCTGAAACGAAAAAGAAAAGAAATAAAACATAAAAGAAAAAGAAAAAAAAAACAAACAAACCACAGTAAGACATGCTCTGAAGCAGTTATGTTTGGCAAGAAAGCAGTTTTGTTGTATCATAAAAACCTCACAGTGAAAATAGTTATGCCCCTTCAGGATTACAAAGCACAGTATTCAGTCAAAATCAAGATATTTCTCTCCTCTGTCTTCTTCTTCATAGAAGAATCAGGCTGCGTGGCGCCACGGCGTTGAAATCCAAACGTTTAAGCCCGCTTCTACCCGACAAATCTGATATGTTCCTTTGACTTCCACCAAAGCGTACCTCTCTGAACGAGCCGCCGGCGTCGATCACCGGCTGCTCAGGAACCAAACCTGAACCGAGGAGGAAGAAGAACTGGCCTGGAGCTGGTTCTTTCTCAAAAAAACAAAAACAAAAAATTCAGGAGCTTGGTCGTCTGTAATCTTTCTTTCTTTTTAATCTGGTAAAACGATTGTGGGGAATTTTATCATTCAAGAGTTAAAAATCTGCTGTCTGCGGTCTAAATAAATCAACTTTTTGTGTTCTATGAAAGTGGCGGCGCAGCCTTCACTGCCAGAGGTTTGGGTGGAAAGGTGGAGAGTTTCAGGCGCTCCGCCCGCGGGTTAGAGGTGGTGATCATGGCTGACCTTAGCGAGAACATATCAACGTTTTGCCTTGCTTTTAGTAAATACTTTAGTCTTTGGTCAATATATTCCTCCTCAGTTTATACATATAGTCATTCACACACAAATATGCATGTAAATACACACTTATCAACGTGTAATAAACTGGATATTTGTGCGCGCATGTGTTCACACGTTTTCATAAAGGACCTTTTAGCACAAAACATCGAGATTCAAATAAATAATTAATGCAGAAACAAAGCAAGAGTACCTGTTCAAAATTCATGTGAAATTAAAAATGACCCAAAAAAAAAGACAAATTAAAATGAAAAATAAGGTAGCCTTATGTACAGCGTTATTCTTCTTTTGTTTTTTTAACACAGGCTAAAAGGCGTTTGTTTTTAAATAAACAGACTTTGCATCTTTCAAGAAGCCTGAGAGAGAGGCTAGACATGAGAACAAACACGCGTCCTTCCACACAGACGAGGGCCCGAGTGGCCGTCCAACGTGGACGTTCCTCCTATCGCTGAGAACACGCTCCTCCTGGAGTCTGAAACCTTTTCCTCTGCGCTCGGGGGAGGGGTTCAAGTGATGGCGATTGTTCTTTTAGCGGTCCGCTCGCATTGTGAGTGCTCGCTCAGTGATGCTGCCGTGTCCATCTGGAGGGGAGATTGTCCCGGCGTCTACCGCCGCCGCCGCCGCCGTGGCTGCTAACTGTTGGGAGGCCCGTCGTTCAGGAAGTAGGTGGTCATTTCCCCTTTGCCTTTGACCTTAACAACGCCGCGGCACTCCAGGACGTAGCCTTTGTTTGCAAGCACCTGGTGGAGGTCTGTGGTCACCTGAGGGGAAGGGTTACAGGACGGAAAAGAAGGAAGGATGCTGACTTTTTATTTTTAATAGTTTTTTCAGTTTTATCACAAACCCATACATGTCAAGTTGTAGGAATTGCCTGTAAACTACTAGGATTCCCGATGGTCATTATACAGGAAACCTGCACCTTCTATTGTGTGCTTGGGAGTTCAAATGACCTAAAAAATGTTTTTGGTTTTGGTAAGTTTCATTAAAATTTGTCCACTGGTTCATGTTGCTAAAACGACAAACATACGAGTGAAAACTTTTCCCGCCTGTCGCTGAATGCAAAAACGCGACAAAAAAAGGAGACCATGAAATAAATTAATCATCGTCTGGATGAAGTTCCAGATCAAAGATGTTAGAATAAAAAGAAGCTGTTAATAATAATAAACATTTATTCTAGCTAACGTATCAAAGATGTTATATAAAAATTAGGGGTGCAACGATACAGAAAATTCACGATTCGGTTCGGTTCAATACTTTAGTCTCAAGGTTCAATATTTTTTCGATACAAAAAAGAAAAATTTCCAAGCCCATTTTAGGTTTTAATTTATTTAAATTAAGTAAGAACAGTTGTTTAACCCCAAAACAACAGTTTTTAAATTAAATGTTGCTGAAACAGCAAGTTTCTCAGTAGATCTGCGCTCAAAAATACAGCCTAGGTGGAGAAGTCAAACACAGATCCACTGATCCTTCAACACAGAGCATCTTCAGAAAACAAGTTGATAAAATACATTTTAAAAATCTATATTGTTTGATACAAGTGTGCATTGAACCTAAAGCACTGTATTGAACGGTTTGATACGAGTACATGTATTGTTGCACCCTTAATAAAAATATATAATAAGTGCAAATGAATCTCAACTCAATCTCATGAAGCTTTTCTACAACTTTTGTTGGATATCTTAGTTTTAGTGTTTATGTTTTAGTAAATAAAAAAATAAAAACTGATTAACAGCTTTGTATTTTATTTGTAATGAGGCCATTTTGGAGTAAAATGACTCCTTTAGTGATCCACACCTGTCTCTGAATTATGTGAAATCAGGTACTTTAATTAGTGGTGTTCTGATACCAGCAGTTTTACAAGTACTCGTACAAAATACCCTGATACTCAGGACTGATACCAATACCAGTATCGATACTCCACTGAATGTGTTACAGTTTACATTTCAAGAGAAAAGTTCATCAGTTCCATGTTTAAGACATTGGTACAATTTTCTACTTTGATTTATTTGAAAAGGTTGCAGCAGTATACAGCAGGTAAAATAAGTATTGAACACGTCAACATTTTTCTCAGTAAATATATTACTAGAGGTGCTAATGACATGAAATTTTCACCAGATGTTGGTAACAACCCAAGTGATCCATACATACAAAGAAATCAAACCATAAATGTCCAGAAATGAAGTTATTTGTAATAATGTGGAATGGCACAGGGAAAAAGTATTGAACACACTTACTGAAATTTATCTAATACTTTATACAAAAGCCTTTGTTGTCAATGACAGCTTCAAGACGCCTCCTGTATGGAGAAACTAGTCGCATGCATTGCTCAGGTGTGATTTTGGCCCATTCTTCCACACAAACAGTCTTCAAATCTTGAAGGTTTCGTGGACCTCTTCTATGAACTCTGATCTTTAGTTCTTTCTATAGATTTTCTGTTGGATTCAGGTCAGGTGATTGGCTGGGCCATTCCAGCAGCTTTAGTTTCTTTCTCTGAAACCAACTGAGAGTTTCCTTGGCTTTGTGTTTGGGCTCATTGTCTTGCTGAAATGTCCAGGCATGTTTCATCTTCATCATCCTGGTAGATGGAAGCAGATTTTTATCAAGAATGTCTCTGTACATTTTTCCACTCATCCTTCCTTCAATTATTTGAAGTTTGCCAGTACCATATGCTGAAAAACAGCCCCACACCATGATGTTCCCACCTCCAAACTTCACTGTTGGTATGGTGTTTTTGGACTGATGTGCAGTGCCATTTTACCTCCAAACATGATGTGTATTCTGGCATCCAAACAGTTCAATGTTGGTCTCATCTGACCAGACTATATTCTCCCAGTATTAAACAGGCTTGTCTAAATGTTGTGCAGCAAACTTTAAAGGAGCTTCAACATGCTGTTTCTTCAGCAGTGGAGTCTTGCGTGGTGAGCGTGCATACAGGCCATGGTGGTTCAGTGCATTACTTATTGTTTTCTTTGAAACAATCGTACCTGCTAATTCCAGGTCTTTCTGAAGCTCTCCACAAGTGGTCCTTGGCTCTTGGACAACTCTTCTGATAATTCTTTTCACTCCTCTGTCAGAAATCTTGTGAGGAGCACCTGGTCGTGGTCGGTTTATGGTGAAATAATGTTCTTTCCACTTCTGAATTATGGCCCCAACAGTGCTCACTGGAACCTTCAGAAGTTTAGACATTCTTCTGTAACCGATGCCATCATTATGCTTTGCAACAATAAGGTTGTGAAGGTCTTGAGAGAGCTCTTTACTTTTACCATCATCAGATGGTTCTTGTGTGATACCTGGCCATCATTTGGGACTGAACCAGCTGATATTAACTTGCACTGACAAGGGGCAGGCTTGCTTTCTAATTACTGAGAGAGTTCAGCTGGTGTCTTGGCTTTCCATGTCTTTTTACACCTCCCTTTCTTCATGTGTTCAATACTTTTTCCCTGTGCCATTCCACATTATTACAAATAACTTCATTTCTGGACATTTATGGTTTGATTTCTTTGTATGTATGGATCACTTGGGTTGTTACCGACATCTGGTGAAAATTTCATGTCATTAGCACCTCTAGTAATATATTTACTGAGAAAAATGTTAACTGTTCAATACTTATTTTACCCGCTGTAAATGTATACGTTATTATTATTCCCTATAAAGTGCTTCCCTGACCATAGGATCACCTGTAAAGTATTAGTACCATGGAACAGACCTGTATGCGGTCAGGTACACCTGTGCTGTCCATGCGACTGGCCACGTTGACCGTGTTCCCCCAGATATCGTACTGAGGCTTCCGAGCCCCAATCACTCCTGCCACCACCGGCCCGATGTTCAGACCTGTCACACAGAAACACAGAAATGGATCGTGAGCCGCGGTGAACGCCTCCGTGAGGGTTTCTCTGAGTTGCTGCTCTTCACCTATCTTCATCTGGAAGTTGTTGAAGGAATGCTCATTGATGTACTTCATCTGCTCTCTCAGCCTCATGGCGTAGTCTGCTAGTGCAGTGATGTGAGTGCGGCCCTCTTTGTCATACGTAGAGTCATTAAGGCCAGAGGCCGCCATGTAGGTGGAGCCGATGGTCTTGATCTTCTCTAGCTGCCTGTACTTCTCCTCACTGATGATCTGAGGCAGGAAGAAGACGGATAAAATTCCTCCAAGCTCAAAGATCAGCTTTTAAAAACAAAACAGAACAAAAAGGCAGTTTTTACCTCATCGAAGTCTGCGATGATCTCGTTAAGCAGCCGGAGACACTCCACTCCCTCATTGTTGGCCTCCAGCTCCACGTAGAACTCGGAGAAATTGCTGATGGAGGCGAACATGACGGCCACGCACTCGCAGGACTGGTAGTACAGCTCGTCGTTGCGCCGCTCTCGAGCCAAGAAGTGAGCGGCCACGTCCTTCGGCAGGATGTTGTGAAGGAGGCGACGGTTGTAGGCCTGCAGCTCCTCCATCTCCTCCTTCTCCTCGGTGGCCTGAGAGCGAGGGTTATTTAGTACAGAGATTCTCAACCTATGGGCCGCACCTTGAGGGCCTCAAAAGAGCAACAGTTTTTAACTTTGGGCTGCGGGACCACATTTTGAATATGGTACAATACAACTTCTCACCACTAGTAGCAGTAGTGCACCACTCAGATGTTTAACAACTTTTTTTAATAAGTAGAAGAAGAACCTTAGAAACCTGCCGAGAATGGAAACTTATTTTAAATGAAAAGTAGAAGCAAAAATGAAGGTAATCCATCAAAAAATGTCAGTTTGTCACTAATACGAAGTGCAGCCTCTGGTTCTATCATTCAATATTTTAAAAGTTCAAAACATTATCAAATAGAGTTGCAGATACAACTATGTTTTAATTTGCACTTTATCAAATTAATTTTTGTAATTTATTTTTAAACATTTTGTCAAAAAGCTGTTGTTACTGTTATTGTTTGTCACTAATATGAAAAGCAGCTTCTGGTTCTACCATGCAAAGGTTTAAAAAGGCTTTATTTTCATTTGCACTTTATCAAATTTATTTTTTTTATTTGGAACATTTACATGAAATATTTTTGAATGTATCTATTTTATGATCACAATTTTATTTATTGAATTGTCAATTTTTGTTGTTTATGTTTAAAAATGTTATTTTTGTGTTGATAAGCCTGAGTGGTCTGTTGACTGATTGTTGTATTTGTTCAATAAAAAAAATGTTTGTCATAATCATGTCTTGTGATTATTTGACGAGTTTTACTTTTAAACTTTAAGTGTATTTTATTTAGTTATAATGCAAATAATACGTAATGATACATTAAACCAAGATTTAGAATAATTATAATTTAAACCAAGATTTAGAATAATTATCATTTTGATCCGTATGGTAATGTCTGACTGGGCCTCGTGTCACTTTATGTTGAACAAATTGGGCCCCGAGGTCAAAAAGGTTAAGAAGCCCTGATTTAGTAGATTCAAGCAGCTTTTATATAAGGCTGTCATATAACACAGGGAGGACCACACAGCTGTGAGACGGACCTGTTCAAACAGACCCAACGTGCTCAGATGCAGCCCTCTAGTGGACTCTAGAGTCAGTACCTGTAATTTCCACAGGAAGTCGAGGCGCGCGGTGGATTCCACCTGCTGTGCGTGCAGGTACAGAGCCAGGACAAAGACTGTGAGGATCACTGGAGTCATGACCCGAAGGGACACTTTGGTCACAACAAATGGGCTGAAAAATGGAGTTTGAGTAAAGCAGCATCAACATTTATTCTGTCACTGTGCATACATCTTAATGGCATTTAATTAAGGTGGAACACTAATGTCTTCGCTCCGCCATGGGGGATGAAAAGCAAAGATTTGATTTTTTTTTCAAGAAAATAAAAGTCAATGTTCAAGAATAATAATCTGTCTGATGTAAGTAAAATATCTTACCACTGGTTTGTAGTTTCATTGAAACTGGACCTAAAATAAAAAAAGAGGAAATTCTCATGAGAACAACTAAAGCTAATAATCAACAGCTTTAATAAAGAAAACAAAAAGTCACAAAATATTTTCACCAAGTTTAAATTAATATTCAAACACTGCGGGGAAAGTCCAGTCTACTTTTAGCCTCTATTTGTTTTTAGTCTTAACCCAATCAGCCACAACGTGGTGGAGGAAAGGAAGACAAATGTCCTTAAACCTGAAGATCTAAGACTTCCTATCATTTCTGTTTGTTTAAAAATGTTGTTTAAAGGACGGATCTGTTGTGTAAAACTGAAGCTTTTCTGGAAACTGTGGGCTGTCTGTGAAATCATCTGTCTGAAAGAGACAAAAACTACAAGGAAGGTGAATTTTCTTCAGATTCATGAACTTTGTGGTTTTATTAATCTGTTTTATTATAAAAAAATAAAAATGCCTTTTTCTAAAGCAACAGGAATTTTAAATGGCATCAGTCATTCAGAGAAAACAAGAAACATTTAATTTAAGAGTTGATTAGTGCACATAAATCAGCTCAGGTTTGATCTGTTATTATTTAATTTATCTAAAATATTACATTTTGTTGTAATGTTTTTAGATTTTTGCTCAGTTCTCTTATTTTCTGTAAACTACTTTAAAATTAAGCAAGAATTTTACTTTTTATTTAGTTTTTTAATGAAGCAAAACCTCCAGAAAAGAAAAGAAAAGAAAAGAAAAGAAAAGAAAAGAAAGAGGACCTAATGTGATCTTTTGGTTCCTATAAAAACAACAGAGATACATTTCTGACAGATAAAAACTAATTTCTTTTTACCAAATAATCACCTAATTAGAAACAAAAATGTTCTAATTAATTTTTAAATGGCTTTAAATCTATACAGACAAACTAGTGAGGTGACAAAAACAATAAATACAAAACATAAATCAACTTACCATGTAGCGTTAGTTTTGTTTAAATCTCTATAAAGAGAAAACAAAAACAAAGTAAATACAATGACACAATGCACAGCTTTTGCTTATTTCTAAAACACTCCCAGTTTGAATCTATTCGATCAGAAGAAAAACAAAGATGTTTAATAATCTGTACATATTTAGTTTCTACAGCAAATTAACTTTATGTTGAAGTGCAGCTGTGTATTTTATTTCATTTAATTTATTGTTTAATTGGGATAAGTGTTAAAACCATACACTAAAGCATTTATAGCCTGGGTTCATTTGAAATGTCAGTCACTTGATGAGCTTTTAGCAACATGAAAATAAAACATTTTATTTAAAAATGAATCTACATCAGAGGCAAACTGATGTAAAATGTAACTAACCATGTGCCATAGCTCAGAGATGTTTTTAAGAATAAATTATTAGGATAATGGTTATTTATCAGATGAAGCACAGATTTGCCAAAGTCAGTCTCTCATTTGGCTGCATCAGATAATGAGGAAATCTCTAAAGACTCAGGAGATTCTCAGGTTTTTCAAAGTCTTACAGCTCGAGTTTTGAGAAAAGATATATTTTCTCTTAAATGAGCTTGTTGGGGGTTTCACAGTCCAGTTTCTTTGGTTCTAGAGCACAATATTCTTATGTAAATTGCCGCCTGTTTATACTTTTGCTTCTTAATTTGTCTTGACACAGTGTGCACCGTAGCAAAATAGTGTTTCACTGCTCGGGTCAAACTCCACACCTGCTGCCGTCTCCAGAGCGGCTCACGCCGGACCCAAGTGCCCGTGAGCCCAGAGAGGATTAGTGACATTTTACTGCAGCTGGTTGAGCAATAACAGCTGAGGTTCACCTGCATCACATCACATCAGAGATGAACGCACAGCTCGTTCATTTTACTCTTTAAAATGCAGATCTGAGGTCGTTCAAAAATCTTCCAGAGCTACAAGTGGTCTAACCATGCCGATTAAATAATGATAAACTGGTCCAAATCTGTTTTTTATCCAGTGGAAATAAATCACAAATGTTTGGCAGGGTTGGGCTAGAATACAGTTTTGTAATTTGCGCACACAAAACGAGGCCATGATTTTCAAAACACTGGCCGAGCAAATCACAGCTGTACAGCTCTCTTGACCCCAAACTCTCAGAGCTTCATAAAACCGTCTCTGAAAATGTGCCTATTTTCTCTCAATTTTGAGTCTTCCCGGGTCCCTACAGCAAAAGGCAAGTTAAATTTAAGACTTTTTAACACCTCTTTAATGTCACTTGAAATCAAATTAAAGACCAAACTCACAATAAAGGCAAATTTTACCCAAATGTTTATTTTGAAGTGCCTGTGACGTCAAACTTTTGTAACAAACACGAATGCATTTTTGGAAAGATAACATTGATAACATATTGCAAAACAAATTCCATGTCGCTCAGATGAACAGTTGTTGAGGTATTTGCATGTGAAGAAACAGGAAGTGATGTCAAAGGGGAATGTCTGCATGTACACAGAGCTTTGTTACAAAAGCTAACAACAGACTTTAGAGAAAAATCTGATGTTTCATTAAATTATTTTTAGTCGCTAGCAAAGACGAAGAACAGTTAAAGTTTAAATAATTTTGTTTTAATAAACAGAGACCAGCAAGTTTATTTTATTAATGATTTTAATGATTCTAATTTTGTTTTGTGTACTATCTATAGTTTGTAAAGTAACTAGTGTGTGAAACTCTGTACTGATGCTGCTGTGACACCTGAATTTCCCCTCGGTGGGACAACAAAGGCTATTCTATTCTATTCTATTCTATTCTATTCTATTTTTTAGTTCAGTTAGTTTATTCATTTCTTTAAAAAACAACATGAACTCTACAACAAAAATACAAATCACAAATTAAATGAAAGGTAGCAGAAGAAATAAAAAATCTTATTATATCTGCCCCTTTTTCTCAAATAAATAAATTCAATCAAAAATATTTAGTTTATAAAAAAGAAAAATAAAGGTTTAACTCATTTAACAACAATTCATACATTTACATATTTCTATTCTATTCTATTCTATTCTAACGAGTTCCCCTTTGATGTCACTTCCTGTTTCACTTTGGCTGAGCCAAATTCAAAAGAAAATAGGCCAGTTATGTGATAAAATGGGTAAAATCATGTATACTATGCCAATTTTCTTAAATATAAAGATGCTTTCTTTGACTTTTTGTGTTTGAAGGATAGGCATGTCACAGGCACTATAACATACAAAAAAACTAGCTGTGAGAAGCATTTGGTAAATAATTTAAATAAATAAATAAAAGTTACCAATCACTTTAACATTTGAGACAAATTACAGTCATCCTACTTACATTGTGTTAACATTTTTAAGAACTCTTAAGACATTTTAAGGCTAATTAAGGCCTTATTTTTTAATTGATGAATTCAGTGCCTTTTAAGGCATGTTAAGGATGGTCTTCAGCTCTCCTCCAACAATAGCAGCTCGATGAGATACCAGCCTGATGTGATGCCAACTTTCAAAAACACTTCAGCACAGACAGAACGGGGTCCAGACTCCTGTGATCGTACTTACATGGCATTGGAGGTGATAAAGAGGTCTGCGTTGTCAAACAGTGCTACTTGTGGCCACTCCACCAGCAGCAGGAAGGTGAGCTGGATGAACAGCATGAGGGCCAGCTTCCCTATGCTGCTGATCTGCAGGAACACGGAGCAGGCCAGCAGCGTCAGCAGCACGCTGTAGCTGAAATACTGACACAGACAGGAGACGGCAGCGAGACGCATCAGCAACCAGAACTCCCAGAGAGGCACACATGTGACATTTTCCTTCTGGTCGTAGAGGGGAAACACGAACACACACACCTCAGGAAACGGGCAGGAAGGACCTCGGCTCGGACAGATCTCTAGCCCCCCCTCAACGGACACGTTCAAACCGCGGATCAGGCAGGGCGTCACCAGGGCCGCCGAGACGTTCAGCTTCTCAGCGACGCACGCCGTCAAGCTTGTGGTGTCGCAGGAGAACTGCAGCCAAAAAAAAAAAAAAAACACGAGCGGGCATTCAGAATCAAGTCCCGCAGCGTAAACCTGCCTCTTTGTTTCACGCTCGTCTCACCATATTAACGAAGGCGGAGATGAAGACGAGGATGATGGAGAACACTCCGACCAGGGTGCTGTTGGTGCGAGACTGGACGATCTTCTTTGAGACGGTTTGCATCGCACCTGGAAAGAGCTGCGAAAACAAAACAATTATGTACAGAGTTGTACCGAAACACCAGGAAACGCACAATCAAAGGTTTGTTGTCGTGTTCAGAGGAGCTCCGCTACCTTGATGCACGAGTATATGGCACAGATGAAGAGGATGTTGGCGAGAATGATGAAGATACTGATGTAGATTCCCAGCATTACTGGGGTGCTGCAGGAGAGAAAACATTAATCTGGTTAAAAACATGCTTGTATGCTTGACAACTGAAATAACCATTTATTGCTTTATTTTTGTGTTGCAGAATCAAAGCAGACCCCCCAAAAACAATCCAATAAAAACAGTTTTATTTTATGTCACAGAAGAGGCTACTTGTGTTTGCAGAAAATGTCACATGACTCACAGCTGGAGCACTTTTATAGCATTATGCGTACAAAAACCCCTCGGGGCTGAGAGTAAAAACATCGGCAGTTGCGGTAAAAATAGAGTTTTTATTACAGATAAACACAAAGAAATATAAAAACAGATCTGTAACCTTAACAGTGCAAGTCTGCAACAAGCATGACATCAAGGAGCTTCTTCAGGTCAAGACTTCACTGTGGGTCATGAAACACCAGTGGGGTGGGTCTAGTTATAAATGGATTAAAGCAGCTCAGTGGTTGTTCAGGCTGTTTGTCTTATTCTTTCATTGTTTCACTGACTTATTTGTAAACTTCAAGCAGCGATAGTTGGGGCACAAGTCCCTGTGAGCTGTCACCCTGTTTGGTTGCTGTTTTTCCTCATCCATGATGTCCCAGATGGATGGGATAGGCAGGGCTCTCAGTCTAGTGTTTTTTAGGTTTGATCAAGAGGTTCTTCTTCCATGAAGCAGCTCTGTTGTCCTCCATCCATATTTTCAGTTACAGGCTGAGTCATTTCTACCTTCTCCTCTCTGTCAACGCTCTCTGGTTTCATTTAAAAGAGTTGATCATCAGATATTGTCCAAGATTAACCTTCAGGGTGGATATAGCTCACTAGCAGCCTCGCACTGAGAACCTGTCGACATCATTTACCCAGAATTTTTTGCATGTAAATAAAATGGCCCCATCCGTGTAATATATTTTTCAACTTTTAGTTTAAAAATGATAAAAACTGAACATCCTACAGTATTTTTACAGTCTTTATTTTACAGTTAAAATATATGTTTAAAGTCTAATCTTACAACTGTTCAAGGATCCCTTTAAAGAAAATGCAGAAGCAGAGGTTTTGTGTATAAATGTCTAAACAAACTGTGTAAATCTGAAATTCAAATTGTGTTTTTGTGAGAGTGTGTGACTTGAGGTACTCACTGTGGAAAGATAACAATCTGAATGAACGATATGAAGCAGAACACCAGCAGAGTACAGGCAACATAGCCTCCAAAGCGGTCATCTACTTTCTTGGAATACTACAACAATAAGAACAGATGGGAAAATCAAACATGAGCAGATTATTTTTGAAGGACTGGTAATATTTGAGGTCAAAATGCTCTTCAAATGTTTGGTTTTGTTAGTCTGCACCTTTTTTTCCAGGCTCGAGGTCTGGAAAGTGAGCAGGAACTTCTTGACGTGGTCTTTTCTGAGTTGGTCAATGCTGCGAGCGTCGATGGCTCGCCCCAGAAACTCATCCACCTCGTCCTCTGGATTCATGGCCTCCTGAACCCCTCGGCTGCCAAACACACACACACAAACACGCACACACAAACAGGCTGATCAGGAAGCCGCAGAGTAAACAAAATCCACCCAAGTCAAACTAGAATAGCCGGTGCTCACTTGTCTTTACTGGAGGACTCATCAATCCCCTGCCAAGAGAAGAGACGAGACATAATTAGGACTCTCTGGGACAGGCTGCAGCCAGCCTCGTCCACCAGCATATTGATGTCCAGCCTCACCATTTGTCTGAAGACTTTGGAGTCTTTGGTTCTGGGGAAGGTTCTGTCGGGGACCCAGCGTGGCATCAGCCCCTCGTTAGAGTTGGCTCGCGTCCGCTGCATCTTCTGCATCATCGCCTTCTCCTCCTTCTGCTCAGAGGGAACAACACGAAGGCTTGACCAACTGTTCTCACGCGGCAGCGCCACACATGGCCAACGTAAAAAAAAAAAAAAACAGTGACTAAGAACGCCCAGTGAATCTGGCTCTTCATCTCCTCCGAGCAGTGGGGAGAGCGTGACAGGCAGCCTGGAGGACTTTGCTTTCAAGTTTGTCACTTACAGAGAAGTCACAGGATTGTATTTCTGCTTCTTCAAGAGGAAATCCCCAGAATTTACTTTACCTCTTAAGCCCCAAGGGGTTTTCTTAAAGTTTTTGCTCAAAATACCTTGCCGAAATGTAAATGAGTGTATCTCAGCATTTARAAACTCTACTTAAATAATCTTGGTATCAAAATAAAACTAACACTTGGGAGATTTTATCAGAAGTGTAAATATTAAAACAGCTGCTGTGGTTTTAGAGATATTGGGGATGGAACATATACTGTATATATTTTTTTCACTCTCACCTGAAAATTAATTTCATTAGACAGTATATAACCTATGTAAAACCATAATGAATCAGGCTAAAACCTCTTGGACACCATAAATCCACTTGRGGACTTCACCTGTGCAAAGATTCATGCTGCTAAAATGAACTGGAGCAAAGTTACAGAGGTTTTAGTAAAGAAATAAATTTGTATTTTGTCATTCTGCACAGGACAGACCATGATGGTACCATTAATAAATGTTAAGAAATCTGAAGTTTTTACGTCCAAAAGTTATTTATTTTTCTTACCCGCCTTAAAAGACTTGTTATTAAATGTTTGTTCTTTTGAAAAATTATCCAAACATT